CTAGACACATTAGTAGCAGGGTAATAAAAGCTTCCTGGTATCAACAGTAACACATTACTGAAATATATACCATTGTAATACTTATAAACATACAGAGGTAGGTATTAAAGTGTTACTTTGTGCATTCTGAGATCACAGTGTGTCTCTCCCAGCAAAATGTCTTTTGAATGTTATTACAATCAACACCTAAAAACCAAGATGGCTACAGCAAGATCACTCCTATCTTTGAGCAAAGATTCTCTAAAGCTTAAAAATACATCTCTGACGTTAGAGTGTCCTTTCGTTGCGAGATGGGTCAACATGGTAGATACTGGCCTGTTTACAAATGCATCAGACAGTGAAATGCGCTAGGATTCCCATTATAAGAATCTGAAAAGACCTCAAACACAGAAAAGATGGAGTCAAGTTCCCGGATGTAAAGTGATCGTTTGTTGCACCGAGGTCCGGATGAACGAGGTTACGCTATACACACACGTGACCCTAACTGGGTTCCTGTCTTCTTAAACAAGTAGGCAGAAGGCGACGGAGTTCTCTTAGGCAATTTGGGAGTCACTGCTAATCGGTATCGATTGAAAACAAATACCGGTTTAATTGAAGTTTGTGAAGTAAATGTGCCCTGGACAAAGTTAACATTAGCTGAGCAGTTTGTTTTAATTATTTTTACGCGCAAAACAAACTTTAGAGGTGAAATGTGCGTAAAAAATGACTCGGAATCGGCAGGAAAGACGTAACGCATGCGCACCTAAAACCGGATATAGAACAGATTTGTGACCCCTCTTTTGGCCGGTGCCTGTTGGATAAGAGTAGAACCACTTTTAAAAGGACGCTGATAAGCTATGCAATGTTGATGATGTATTAACACGCACAGCTGTATCTACACATACTAGACTATTTCACTGATCAGGTCCTACCACATGCACAGAAATCAAGAGAGGAGTTTGTGCTGGAACAACAACAGATCTATTTGCATGTCTCACATCACAGATATCACTGTGTTATACGACACAGTCTCCGTGTAGATCTCCCACACTAGCCTTACAGTGCGCTAAGGTTAAAAATACTTGTGCTTCATATAAAGTGGTGTAAATTTCATCTTATTGAAAATATCATCATCATCATATTTGGTCGTTCGTCTGATCAATGTCTTACTTTTACATGTCCATTGCCAAACCTAAATCCTGGTTGCCGGTGACTAATAATAACTATAATTTAGGAATCATTTACAATAAAAATTGTTAAAAGCCATTTTCGTTGATACATCAGCGACACATTGAAGACTCACGAGGATTGAGGACAGCCTGGAGGATGCTTAAATGTCTTAGAATGGCCCAGCTAAACTGGAAGTATCGTTTGATTTGTTTGAGTGGCATTCTAGAGTGGAAGCATCGACTCCGCATCGTTCAGTCGACCGCGTCCCGTCTCATCCCAGACATGTTCTATATGGTCTGGAGAAACAGCCGGTCACAGCAGTTCAACAATACTATCATTCCTCAAACGGTCTGGGACAACACATGCAACAGTATGTGGAGACATTACTAAACTGTAACGTGACGTCATGTGACTTGAGTTAGAAAGGTAGAAGTTATCAGCTGATGAGTTGTCTCCCTTGAGTTGAGATGCCATCGCTACCTATATATTACACTTCCACTCTAAAACTGACAACGTCAAGCAACGTCCTAATTGACACCTCTAGCCAATTGCAGGGGCGGTGGGGTAGCCTAGTGGTTAAAGGCATTCGCTCGTCACGCCGAATACCCGGGTTCGATTCCCCACATGGGTACAATGTGTGAAGCCCATTTCTGGTGTCCCCGCCGTGATGTTGCTGGAATATTGCTAAAAGCGGCGTAAACCCAAACTCACTCACTCACTCACTCTAGCCAATTGCAAGACCATCAAAGCCGTCCAGCTGAAACCTGGATACCATGCTGTCCCGGTGTTGACTTGTAAACTCCAGGTGCCCGTCTACACCGAGCAAGGCCTTCTGAACAGTGACCTTGAAACGTATCACTAGATGTTGTGTTTCCTCAAGACGTACTGCCACTCAAGCCAGGAAATGTCCAATAGCCCGTCAACCTTACTTTTACCTTGCCAATTGAACTTACTAATCTCAGAAATTTATTCAGCTTAGGATAAAAGCTGTTTAACAAACGATCATAGTTTCAAATCGCTATTATTGGTTTGTATTACAAGGGGGTACGCGCAGTAGTTGGAACAGCGAAACAAATGCACGTGCGGTACGTGATGAGCGTTAACTTAGACTACCGTAGAAACCAACCCTTCTTGTTCTCGAGGTTTCATTTAATGTGCATACCACCTTGTAATACAAACCAATAATAGCGATTTGAAACTATGATCGTTTGTTAAACAGCTTTTATCCTAAGCTGAATAAAATTCTGAGATTTAAAAGTTCAATTGGCAAGGTAAAATAATGAGGATTCGCAATCTTAATTTCACTTTATTTGATTTACTTTTTTGTTTAAAGTGAAATTCGTCGGTAGGTTTTCACTGCAAACGGAGTATAGATACCGATTCCGTAGATGCACTAATCGAAAATGGTTGACATGTTGACATTACACGTGGACCAACGGCCTGTGGCAAGTCTAGAGTGATGCCCTGTGGTAAATAACCTCTTCAGGGATGATATTGGGTTTCAATTACCATTACATTGTCTGGCAACTCCGTAATGAGCCGTTCTTGTTGGCAGCTACATAAGAACCGCCGTACACCATGATTCTGAGCCAGCCATTGCATTACGTACACGTTATGAACACCTGACAGCTTAACAAGCAGCTTGTGCTGTCTACATTAAAAAACACCATGCATGAAAATTGTGAGTCACGACAAAGTTAATTAAGGAAATGTATTCATAAACATGTGTTGAATGATGCATTATTAAATTTTAAAATATATATATTTTTATTGCACTTTATCAAACACGGTTATATTACTTTTTATAGATTGCCTAAGCGAAGGTTGTGCGTTTTTAAGCCCTCTGGTTAGGGTGTACAAGAGGCCCTAGGATCTGAAAACGCACTAGAAAAAACTGTTTATGTTCCAGTTCATATCAAATCTATATCTTGTTTTATGGTAATTCCGTAAGTGGCCGTAGGGTAGCCTAGTGGTGGAAGCCTTCGCTCGTCACCCAAAGACCTGGTTCCATTCCCTACATGGGTACAATGTTTGAACCTGTTTTCTTATGAGCCCGAGTGGTATTGTTGGACAATTTGTCAAGGCAGTGTAAAACCTCACTAGTTCGCCCGCTTTCTAAAACTACACATATCACGTTGTTGGAGTTCAAAACCAGTTGGTAGGAAGGCCTGTAAAAACTTACATCCTCCACACCCTGTCTATGTTTGCTCGTTAGCCGAACTGCAGAAACGTTCGATTCTAAGACCTTCACGAAGTTGTCGTTTTAACGAGTTGTGGGGTTGATAAAATTGGTGAGAAGCTAAATCGATAGTACCAAACCCTCACGTTGAATGGACGCGCGTGTGTCTTCATTATCGTGGATCGCCTGCCACTCTTGCAGTCTCCGTGCACAATACAAACAGTCATCTTCCGTTATTTGTGATGACGGTTACTACGGTGAGAGCAGCTAACGACAAGACGATTGTCTTGAAGGTCAACAATAATCGGAGATCATATGTCGGTATAATAAGTTACCTAGAACCATTGTGACATGGTTGTCAATACTGAATGACCGGTGAAGATCCGGGTAGAATTGATCTTCAGCAAACACGCTTGTCGTAAGAGGCGACTTACGAGATCGGGTCGACTCATGTCATCGTCGTGTTTATACAGTGGGATCTACTTTAAATGAAAACATCGTATACATGAGTTGCCCCAGACCAATACCCACTATCAACAGACCGCCATACATGAGTTACCCTAGACCACCACCCACTATCAACAGACCACAATACATGAGTTACCCCAGACCACCACCCACTATCAACAGACCGCCATACATGAGTTGCCCCAGACCACCACCCACTATCAACAGACCACAATACATGAGTTACCCCAGACCACCACCCACTATCAACAGACCGCCATACATGAGTCGCCCCAGACAACCACCCACTATCAACAGACCGTCATGCATGAGTTACCCTAGACCACCACCCACTATCAACAGACCACAATACATGAGTTGCCCCAGACCACCACCCACTATAAACAGACCGCCATACATGAGTTGCCCCAGACCACCACCCACTATCAACAGACCGCCATACATGAGTTACCCCAGACCACCACCCACTATCAACAGACCGCCATACATGAGTCGCCCCAGACAACCACCCACTATCAACAGACCGCCACACATGAGTTACCCTAGATCATCACCCACTATCAACAGACCGCCATACATTAGTTGCCCCAGACCTCCACCCACTATCAAGAGACCGCCATGCATGAGTTGCCCTAGACCACCACCCACTATCAACAGACCACAATACATGAGTTACCCCAGACCACCACCCACTATCAACAGACCGCCATACATGAGTTGCCCTAGACCACCACCCACTATCAACAGACCGCCATACATGAGTTACCCCAGACCACCACCCACTATCAACAGACCGCCATACATGAGTTGCCCCAGACCACCACCCACTATCAACAGACCACAATACATGAGACCCCAGACCACCACCACTATCAACAGACCGCCATACATGAGTCGCCCCAGACAACCACCCACTATCAACAGACCGCCACACATGAGTTACCCTAGATCATCACCCACTATCAACAGACCGCCATACATGAGTTGCCCCAGACCTCCACCCACTATCAAGAGACCGCCATACATGAGTTGCCCCAGACCACCATCTACTATGAACAGACCACCATGCATGAGTTGCCCCAGACCTCCGCCCACTATCAACAGACCGCAATACATGAGTTGCCCCAGACCACCATCCACTATCAACAGACCGCCATACATGAGTTGCCCCAGACCTCCACCCACTATCAACAGACCGCCATACATGAGTTGCCCCAGACCTCCACCCACTATCAACAGACCACCATACATTAGTTGCCTCAGACCTCCACCAACTGTCAACAGATTGCCATACATGAGTTACCCTAGACCACCACCCACTATCAACAGACCGCCATACATGAATCGCCCCAGACCACCACCCACTATCAACAGACCGCCATACATGAGTTACCCTAAACCACCACCAACTATCAAGAGACCGCCATACATGAGTTACCCTAGACCACCACCTACTATCAAGAGACCGCCATACATTAGTTGCCCTAGACCACCACCAACTATCAAGAGACCGCCATACATGAGTTACCCTAAACCACCACCTACTATCAAGAGACCGCCATACATGAGTTACCCTAGACCACCACCTACTATCAAAGAGCCGCCATACATTGGTTGCCCTAGACCACCACCAACTATCAAGAGACCGCCACATGAGTTACCCTAAAACCACCACCTACTATCAAGAGACCGCCATACATGAGTTACCCTAGACCACCACCTACTATCAAGAGACCGCCATACATTAGTTGCCCTAGACCACCACCAACTATCAAGAGACCGCCATACATGAGTTGCCCTAGACCACCACCTACTATCAAGAGACCGCCATACATGAGTTACCCTAGACCACCACCTACTATCAAGAGACCGCCATACATGAGTTGCCCTAGACCACCACCAACTATCAAAGAGACCGCCATACATGAGTTACCCTAAACCACCACCTACTATCAAAGAGACCGCCATACATGAGTTACCCTAGACCACCACCTACTATCAAGAGACCGCCATACATTAGTTGCCCTAGACCACCACCAACTATCAAGAGACCGCCATACATGAGTTGCCCTAGACCACCACCTACTATCAAGAGACCGCCATGCATTGGTTGCCCTAGACCACCACCTACTATCAAGAGACCGCCATACATTGGTTGCCCTGAGACAACCACCCACTATCAAAGAGACCGCCATACATGAGTTACCCTAAACCACCACCAACTATCAAGAGACCAACATACATGAGTTACCCCAGACTACCACCCACTATCAACAGACCGCCATACATGAGTTACCCTAGACCACCACCAACTATCAACAGACCGCCATACATGAGTTACCCTAGACCACCACCCACTATCAAGAGACCGCCATACATTAGTTGCCCTAGACCACCACCCACTATCAACAGACCGCCATACATGAGTTACCCTAGACCACCAAACACTATCAAGAGACCGCCATACATGAGTTACCCTAGACCAACACCCACTATCAAGAGACCGCCATACATTAGTTACCCTAGACCACCACCCACTATCAACAGACCACCATACATTAGTTACCCTAGACCACCACCAACTATCAACAGACCGCCATACATGAGTTACCCAAGACCACCACCCACTATCAACAGACTGCCATACATTAGTTGCCCCAGACTACCACCCACTATCAACAGACAGCCATACATTAGTTACCCAAGACCACCACCCACTATCAACAGACTGCCATACATTAGTTGCCCCAGACTACCACCCACTATCAACAGACAGCCATACATGAGTTGCCCTAAACCACCACCAACTATCAAGAGACCGCCATACATGAGTTACCCAAGACCACCACCCACTATCAACAGACTGCCATACATTAGTTGCCCCAGACTACCACCCACTATCAACAGACAGCCATACATGAGTTGCCCTAAACCACCACCAACTATCAAGAGACTGCCATACATGAGTTGCCCCAGACCAATACCCACTATCAACAGACCGTCATGCATGAGTTGCCCTAAACCACCACCCACTATCAACAGACCACAATACATGAGTTACCCCAGACCACCACCCACTATCAAGAGACCGCCATACATGAGTTGCCCTAAACCACCACCCACTATCAACAGACCACAATACATGAGTTACCCCAGACCACCACCCACTATCAACAGACAGCCATACATGAGTTACCCTAGACCACCACCCACTATCAACAGACCGCCATACATGAGTTGCCCTAGACCACCACCAACTATCAAGAGACCAACATACATGAGTTACCCCAGACTACCACCCACTATCAACAGACAGCCATACATGAGTTGCCCCAGACCTCCACCCACTATCAACAGACCGCCATACATGAGTTGCCCTAAACCACGACCCACTATCAACAGACCACCTTACATGAGTTACCCTAGACCACCACCCACTATCAACAGACAGCCATACATGAGTTGCCCTAGACCACCACCCACTATCAACAGACAGCCATACATGAGTTACCCTAGACCACCACCCACTATCAACAGACCGCCATACATGAGTTGCCCTAAACCACCACCCACTATCAACAGACCGCCATACATGAGTTACCCTAGACCACCACCCACTATCAACAGACCGCCATACATGAGTTGCCCTAGACCACCACCAACTATCAAGAGACCAACATACATGAGTTACCCCAGACTACCACCCACTATCAACAGACAGCCATACATGAGTTGCCCCAGACCTCCACCCACTATCAACAGACCGCCATACATGAGTTGCCCTAAACCACGACCCACTATCAACAGACCACCTTACATGAGTTACCCTAGACCACCACCAACTATCAGGAGACCGCCATACATGACTTGCTCTAGAAATAATTTCTCGCTTTCATGCGCAGTCAAACGAGATTCATCTTCATCTTCAACTATAATCATTGACAGATGACATCAAAAGACACGAATCAAATGGGGTTTTTTTTTCCAAATTAGGAAATCGGAATCATTTGTTTCATACATTTGAAGAGACGTGATTTTCTGAAGATCAATTGTTGGGATTACAATGCATCAAAATCCTTCCTGAAAATATGCAGACATGTTTTCTGACAACAAAGAAAGCAAAACCTTCCATTTCTCACTAACGAACTCGAGTAATCATGATACACGGCTCAAATGCTTAGAAAAGCGGAAGCATTCCAGAATGGTTTATCAGTTCACAACGACCGCTCCTTGTACAGGGTGAGGGATTATCTACACAAGAGGTGGCTGAAACACTCTGACCCTACCTACTAAGGGTGTATAGCGTACAGCAGTTTGAATGTATTTTGGACAATATCAACAGGTTGTGTTTGAACCAAACACGTAGCCAGGCAGCATGTTTGTTCAAAGTGACTAGGTATTCTCTAGTGTCTATCAACTGCTGCCACCAAGTATCTCCGACTGAAAGGGCAACTACAGTCGCCGTGTATGTGGCCATTGATGACGTTTCTTCCTTTGGCTGTTAAGAGATGGGCAGTGGAGGTCAGAAGAGGATCAATGAGCCTCTAAGGTGGTCCAAGGTCAGGATTACTTTTTATTTCTACCACTGAGGAGAATGGTGATGAATAGAGGAGTTATCTGGGTATAGCAACAAATTAATTCAGGGCTAAGGTTTTCTAAGCTCTTGATCAGAATAAATATAAGCGACAACTTCCTTTTTCATAATAATAAAAAAAACTCTGCTTAAAGCAGCTTTTATCATTAACATATGTTTATGAGTCACTATGGTAGTAAGTGTTCGCGGAAGAAGCGACTGTGACAGGGGCAGTGGGGTAGCCTAGTGGTTAAAGCGTTCGCTCGATTCGCCGAAGACCCGGGTTTGATTCCTCACATGGGTACAATATGTGAAGCCCATTTCTGGTGTCCCCTGCCGTAATATTGCTGGAGTATTGCTAAAAGCGGCGTAAAACCAAACTCACTCACTCATTGCAACCGTCACAAACACATGCCGAGGCAAGTCAATAACTTGCGAACGTGCTACCAGCCATACAAGGAAAATAAGGATATTTTTCTAATATTGGCAAAAGCATCATAAACCTGACTCACACACTGGCTTCGTCGATGATGACAGTGTACTCCAATACCTGACAAGGTGTTGGCTTCGGGCTTCTGAGAGTCCACGGAACCCTACAACAAGGCTACCTCCTGAAAGGTGTGAATAGTAATGACCAATATTATTCTAATCTGCTCAGGAAATTGTATGAGACATTGAGCTAAACGTGTTGCTAAATATCCATAAGCAACGTTCCTCCACGGGGACGACTGCAACTGCACAAACGTCTGCTGCCATCACGACGTCGATGCATCACACTAAAGGTGTCATGTACAACCAGAACAGCGCTCCTCTGCATCGGACTGTGGCCTTCAACTCAATGAAAATCCTCCGCATTATTCATCATGCATGCTTTTAAAAATCCATGGCAATTCGATTGAAATGTATTTTTATGGTGCATGGGAATCTGTTTTCGCTAGTATAATCTGCGTCGAGTGTGGAAAATCTCCGTCGAGTGTCGGAAGAATTCGGCAATTTATATCCCATTTTCGCAAAATCAGATTTCTTTTCTTCATAGAACCAGTTTTCAATTGAACGAAAACGCAGTTTTCATAAAAGGAGATGGGTGACCCGAGAAAGGTCAGGGGCGCTGTGCGGCGTCCGCCAACACAATGTTATGCAAATATGTTGGCATTTGATTGAATTCCTCTCTTTACACACTTCCTCATCTTTGTGTGGGCATGCGCCAGATGTTTACGACAAACATGTTTGTTAAAAAAACTACACACCCACAGGTAGCCAACCTCAACACGCTGTACAAAACACGGCTTAAATACAGAAAACCCATTCTCCGTGTCCCGCCATTTATACCAACGTCCTATTTTGTACACTGAAGTCAGAACTATGAAAATGCGAATGCCTTTCACTGAACACCGTGTTATGGTCACACATTGAATGGGATTAGTTTTGTGAGAATAACAACGCGATTTTTCACTTGTCATAAACTGCAAGCAGGTTCTAAGATCAGGGGGACCTTTTTGTGTGATTTGCGCGCACTTTGGCACCGTGCCTCTATATGAAGCCTTATCAAATACGTGCTGTGGAGTCCAGCTGCCTTCGAAGGACATTTGACACTCTAGTTGATATATTCCCTCAAAAACGTCTCACGGGGTAAATTTACCGACATATTGGTCAGCTTTGTAGACGTTTATTCAAGGCAAATTCATGCCATTAAGTATGTTATCACTCACTAACTCACTACTCACTTAGAAACAATGGAGTGTTGCTTAAACTATTTTGAGTAGTATACTTGCTCTGTTGTCCAGGGGGCGGTGGGGTAGCCTAGTGGTTTAAGCGTCCGCTCGTCACGCTGAAGACCCGGGTTCGATTCCCCACATGGGTACAATGTGTGAAGCCCATTTCTGGTGTCCCCGCAGTGATATTGCTGGAATATTGCTAAAAGCGGCGTAAAACCATATACTCACTCACTCTGTTGTCCAGACTCTACACTGACAGTCGAGTCAACTCTGTGTGTTGTCAACAAGGCGGCAACGAAATGTCTCATAATATTTATGGTTGCCAGGAAACTTGTTTTGCATTTGAATATATTGATTTCTAAGTTCCACATATTATTTGGTTCTGCCAGTATTTGTCAGAAGTTGATCATTTAGGGATGTTTTAATTAATGCTTTCAATAATGACCTGTGTGTGTCAACACTCACCTTGGCGATGCAGACAACTGTTGTGTGAGTCTATAGTCATCACCAAGTGTCGAAATATTGATGTGTTCTTTGTAATACGAAACTGTGGCGAAGAAACGCCGAGGAAATATCGAAAATGGTTGTCATTTAATGGGAACACAAATAGACAACGCTACGTACATCTTGTAAACACTCGCCTGGCAATGTCGTAACCAGTTCACTGGCTTTCATTACAACACGCTGTAAAACTATGGCAACGGAAATTAATCACGACCAAATCATCAGCGTTTACTGTGAACCTTGCAAAACACCTTCGTAAAGTAAATATACTGAAGAGCATTAGAAACGCAACAGTGATTCGGTTATGATATGGTGATTGACTCCTATCAATGATAGTGACTATAATTCCCAATGCACTGAAAAACAAATTTCGATCCATATAAGAGTACATCAAATTAATTTATTTACGCACGATTCGGTTCTTGACAAAATGAGCATACGGGGATTTTGTGTTTACTCAACAAAGTAATTGTTTTCGAAAATTTCGTCTTTGCTGGTGAAATAGGGTTCTTCTTTGCTGGGGGGCGGTGGGGTAGCCCAGTGGTTAAAGCGTTGGTTCGTCACGCCGAAGACCCGGGTTCGATTCCCCACATGGGCACAATGTGTTAAGCCCATTTCTGATGTCCCCCGCCGTGATATTGCTGGAATATTGCTAAAAGCGGCGTAAAACTAAACTCAGTCAGTCAGTCAGTCTTCTTTGCTGGTGTGGTTGAGAGTTTTGTGACCGCAGATCCAACACAGGTTGTCCGGCAACGGTATAGACCTAAAGGCCACAGCCACCTCAAACAAAATGCATCGCGCCATCGTTCAACGTCAGGTCCAACACCACGGAGCCACCGTCACGGACCCCGTCGCAAACACTATCAATGTCGTTTTCAACGTCGCAGTCACATACATCGACACAAATGCATTGAACTTCACTATAACTGTCACACCTAGCTCCCCACACCCTGCCACCGTCATGACGTCACATACACCGACACAAACACCATCACCATTGCCATCAGAGCTGGCATCATGGTCCCCGCGCCGTAATGTACACCAACTTAAACACCGTCAACGTCACCATCACCGTGATCAACGTCGATATTCAGATATCGTTACATCACCAAAATTTCCGCACACTGTAACCGGCACCATACAGTCAATATCACCAACAGCGACACTATCAACTACAACGATATCGACTCCACAATCGTCAGCGCCACGATTCACGTCACCACAGTTGTTGTGTTTGGTGAATAACGCCACCCTCAGCAATAGTCCAGTTATATAACGGCGGTCTGTAAATAATTGAGTCTGGACCACACAATCCAGTGATCAACGTCATGAGCATCGATTTACGCTATTGTGATATGATACCATGTGTCAACGAAGTCAGCGAGCTGATCTCTCGATCCCGTTAGTCGCCTCTTAGAATTGGTCTTCGACAACCCATGCTTGTCGTAAGAGGCGACTAACGGGATCGGAGGTGGTCGGGCTCGCTGACTTGGTTGACGCATTTCATCGTATCCCAATTGCGTAGATCCATGCTCATACTGTTGATCACTGGATTGTCCGGTCCAGACTCGAGTATTTACAGACCGCCGCCATATAGCTGGAATATTGCTGAGTGCGGCATAAAACTAAACTCACTCACTAAATTCAAGAACTGAGGTTACCCGCGTCATTACACGACTCATTACAGCTTCAACCCCGACCCTGATCGAGGCGTTGGAAGGCCCCGCAATTCGCTGTGCAGAGTAACGTCCCTTGGTACGTCAATCACAGACGCCCCGAGTCACTCCAGGCATGTCTTGTTCTCACATTAAGAGGACACGTCGGGATGGAATCCTGATCAAAGCGGAGTTGAAAATCAACTTACTCCCTCTATTTCACACAGGGCTTCGGGCTGGGGCCTTACAGTTTAGTTTTTTGCAGTAATAGTTTGTCGCGGAGCAACGACCCCATATACATTACGCTTAGGGATAATTGGGATTGAGCGTTTCGCCCTCAGGTACACAATCAATAAGTACTATATTTGAAACGTATTTAAAGTATCCGTCGTTGAAAGCATGTAATAATGCCTCCCAGTCGACCAGGAAGGTCATGTGTGAGTTTACGTAAGTATTTTGGAGCAATCCCGTCCTATTTAACATGGTATGAACTGCGAGGGTT